TTTGCGATGAAGAGCCGCATCCTTGGCAGCAGCCTTCCCGGGACTCAGGGAGCCTGTCTCGTTCCAGGTGATGGTGAAGAAGGTGAGCAGGCAGCATCGCTGGTACCTTCAGAACACCTCCTGCGACCGAGAGAGCCGCTGGAGGGAGAAGATTCTTCTCTCTGCGAGGGGCTTCTCTGTGTTTTTCCAGATGCTGGTGAAAGCCCAGAAGGTAGGAAGATCTCTGTTTTCTTGGTCCGTAGCAGTCTTTTGTATTTCTGGCCGTAACACTGGTGGGACCGCCAACGGTGAAAATTCCTTAAAATAAGTGATTCCTCCTTGTTGATAGCTGGCTGTTCGGGTCTAACTTGCTTTCACCAAATCATGATGGATTAATTTGAGGAGAGACCGTCCATATGAATTGTTGTTATTTCTTTGCTCCTTTCAGGCATTTCAATACTAACTACTGGGGAAGTGAGTGTTTATCTGCTTCCCAGTGTGGCTCCTACTCACTGCTTTCCTTCTTTTCTGGGATTTAAACACTTGGGCTACTTTTCAGGGGTGGGGGTGAGGGGATGGATTCCCACTTGGTCAGAAGTGCTGTGGGTTCTAAAACTGCACCCTTTGCAGGAGACGATTAGTCTGTAGGTGTCTGTTTCTATTATTAAAGTTCTGTTTCCCTTCCTGTTGATCCAAGTAGCCCTTAGTGGGACACAATATGATGATGGACCTGCTGCATCTGCACGAGAAGTTCTTCCGACCTCTCCCAGGTAGGGTGCGCCTGACAGTCTCCCTCCTTTGCTCTTAGTTCACACCTGGAAGGGGATTGGCCCCGAATCCTGCTCGCACAGGAGCCCTGCGTGCACGCCCCTCCCCAGGGTCTGCGTGCTTCTGCAGGGGTTGGCACCTCTGTGCTGGTTTCCATACCCCAGAGTAGAGACCAGGGGACATTCTCAGGGAAGAAAGCTCGAGTCTGGATTGATGCTCCTCCCCCGTTACAGAGGGTGCTCAGTCTCACTGTATGAAACTTGGCAGAGTCAGAAACGGTGAAGGAGACAAACCCCCTGTAATCTCAGCCCTAGTCCTGACACTTGGCCTTTCCTGTTCTGAGTTCTTACATGTTTGATCACATAACACATTTGATGTTGTATTTGGCATTTGTTTTTCACTTACTGAAAGTGTTTACTGTGTCATTATCCTATAAATGTGATTTTAATGGCTGTGTGGCCCTGCCGTACAGCTGTCCCATACTTTTCCACATGGACACCTTGTTGGACGTACAGCAGCAGGTTATGTGTGTTCTCAAGTGAGTTATATTAACACACCTCTGCTCCGTTTCCTTGCCTATACAGTGAGGGTGTTCATAGTACCCATATCCCAGGGTTGTTTGGGATTAACTGAACTAATAAATATACAGAGAACACTCGTCTAGATCGAAAGGGGGGGTGAGGAGGTTCTAGGAGAGATTTCCCCAAGAAATGAATGGACAAAACACGTCAATTGGAGCATATTGAGAACTGGAGAACGGGGGGTTAATTAATAATAATAAGCCCTCACTAAAAAACTAAGCAGAGAGCACAGTGCAAGTCCTGGGAGAACAAGCTGTACAGGAAAGTCAGAGTCGCTGGAGAGCCGCCCCTTGTGGCCCCTGGCAGCCAGCGTGCATCGGGCTGTGATGACGGGCGCTGGCCATGGGTGAGAGGCAGTTACGGTTTTACACGGGGGGGTCAGTAGTTAAGTGGCTGAGCCTGGGGAAGCCACCTGCCAGGTAAATGTGTTGTTTAGAGAGATGGGAGTGACACCAACAGAAAAAGAAGGGAAGGCAGTTGCCTTCTTGCCTTCAGGGAGCAGGAAATGGGAGGGTGGTGAGAGGAGCAGAGCAGGCGGCTTAAAAATTGTTATCAGGGCACTTTACTCTCATTATAATGATTTCTAGTTCATTTTTCTGTGAACAGTCATTTACAAGTGATGATTTCGTATTTGATTCCCAGTAACCCCCCTTCCCCCTTTTTCCATTGGCTAGAACTTTGCAAACTACGTGAACCAATGTTGGCAATGGCAGTATCCCGAATTTACTGGAAAGCCGTGTGGCCTTTCCTGTTACAAACGGTGGTGGCAGGCTGGATTGAGATTTAGAATCCTTAACCACTAGTAATAAGGATGTTTTCGGTTCCTTTTTTGTTTTATTTGTTAACCAGTTGGTGACGAGCTAGGTTGAAGAACTTCCCATTTTACCAACAAACTCACTTTTGTGACATACCCACTTCTGACCCTCTGGGTCTTTCCCTTCAGAAAGCTACAATCAGTTTAAGCTGAATATCCACAGCCTTTTTCCTGTCCTCATTGACACTAAGAATGTGACGAAGGACATATGGAAGGTGAGGAATGACGTTGCTTTAGGTTACGGGATGCTTTGTCCCAGTGACTCATCTCTCTCTCCCTCTCTCTCTCTCTCTCTCTCTCAAAAAATTGTTCCTCGAACCGTGCTCTCGTATATTATAACCAGCCTCAGTTTCCTTTTTGGTTTTGGCCCCTCTGGATGACACCAGCGTATATATAATTTTTTTCCCTCCCTCATTCACGTTCCCATGTTTGGACTTACTTGTGTATAGTTGTTTAGATGGGGCAGCAGAACTTGTTCTAGAGCTGACTCGTACCTAGTATTTGCAACATGTAAAGAGCATGGGGGGGGGGCGGCCCTCTTGAAACATTGTGAGAAAATATCTTTACTGAGCCTTAAGGTCCTGGGTTTTCAACCCTGACAGCCCATTAGAATCACCTGGGAGCTAAGTCCCAACACCTGGACCCTACCGGCAGCTTCTCCGGGTTGGAGGGGAGGGCTGGGATTTCCGAAGCTCCCAGGGGACTTCTGTTGTGCATTTGTGGGGAAGCACCCAATTGGTTTAAATGCTGCTTAGACGTTAAACTGAGCCGCAAAGAAAGAGGAATTGGACCAGTGTTTTTAAGCCTTAAGGTGATCACTTAAAGTTAATGGTTCCATAAGGGAGCCACAAAAATGAGCCTGGCAGGTATATCTTTGCCTGGAGACGCACTCTTTTCGTGCTTCACATGTTTCAGCTCTGACAGTGTTCTGTGATGCTGCTTGTCTCCAGGTAACTGTCCTGGGGCAGAGGGAAGGGTGTGGGGCTGATCTCAGGGAACCGGTGCTGCTGCTTTCCACACAAGATGAGACGGACTCTTGGACGCCCTGACCCTGCACTGCCCAAGGCCCTCTGTCCTTAGCATGCCTGGTGTTCTACATGTGTGTCCTTGGCCTGGGTCTGTGGAGTCCTGTGTTTCTAGAACTCCTTAAACACTTGTCTTTAAAGGAAGATAGTATGGGCTGTGTTTGTGGCAGCTTTTTCTAGCTTGGGTTATTGGGTCCCTTATAGGAACCCAATCCAAGGACACTAGGCACCCTGGCAATCTAATTAGTAATCAGGAGAAGTATGTTTGGAGAGAGGTATGGGAGTTGACATTCCCCAGGTCATTTGAGTGGCCACTTGCTAGCACCTGAAGCAGAACGTCAGCAAAAGCAAACACCCTTCATTCTCCCTAATTTGTTTTCCATAATTATAGGAACTGAATTTCCCAAGGGTTTCAAATCTTTCCGAAGTTTATGAAGTCCTAAACAGGTGAGGAAGCTTTTGTTTGGAGCTGCCTCTAGAGCAGGCTTCTCAGTCGGGCGATTTTGCTCCCCAGGACAGGTTGGCAATGTCAAGACAGTTAGAGCTGGGGGTGCCACTGCGGGAGTGAGGCCAGGACGCCCAGGACACCCAACACAGAGCTCTCCAGCCCAAAATGCTGCTGGTGCTGAGGCTGAGAAACTGTTCTAGAGGGGCGGGGCCTGGTAAAAATGCCTACAGCTGTTTAATGACGTGCTATTTTCTGTGGGCCAGGGTTTTGTGTTTCTTTTGATCTGTTTCTGATTATTGGAGTGATGAGCTCCATGAGAACTGGGTGGTTTTGTTTGTTTTGTTTTTCTTTGGAACGCTGAGGTTTCTCTTGGTGCCTAAAGCAGTGCAAGACGTAATAGGTGCACATTAAACACTTGCATGAATGAGTGATGCCAATAGCTGGGTGAGTCTCTGACCTTTGGTGTGCCCTGTTCAGGCCTCAGGTGCTGCACATGTAGCATGCGGATGCGATCATCTCTCTGTTTGTCCTTGAGACCACTGGACAGCCAGCCCTTGGGCAGAACCGGCATCGAGTTCACATTGGTGCCTGGGCTTGGGTTAAGCTTCCCATAGATGCTCAGAACCACTGGTCGGTTCAGCTTTGTGCCCGCTGCTCTCTCACCCATCCAGTTGCCTAGTTACCAAGGCCTTGTTTACCCAGGCCTAGATTTTTTTTTTCCCTTTAAAGGTGCCCCAGTACTGAGAACATTTTTATTTATGTTCACTTAAGAGCGTGAGGGGAGACCCAGAGGGACTATTCTTGGTAAACAGTCTTTGTCCTGTTTCTCTTCTGCAACAGTGACTTGAATCCCACCAAGAATTCTGGGCCAGTGATTATTCACGCCAGCGAGTGTGAGAAATACGGTAAGTGCCCAAGAGCGCCCACTCCTCACAGTGGGCGAGGTGCTGAGGGGCCAGAGCTGGGGCCGGGTCTCCCTGGGGCCCAGGAGTGTGCACAGGGCGGCTGGGGCTTTCTCCACCGGTGTCCTGTCCTGTGCTGCCTGTCACCCCCTCGCTCGAAAGGAGCCATCCTGGAGGCATCGAGGTCCTGGGCCAGGGTGGGGGGGCATCTGCTCCCCTTGGCCATGGTGAGTAGTCTGTTGGGAGGCTCTCGGCTTTCTGCTTCCTCCCCCTGTGGGTGCTCCTGCCGCCCTGGGGAGGACCGAGGTGAGGATGGGGTGTGGGTGGGAGATGGGTGCACGCGGCTCTGGAGGAAGGGCGGTTGGAGGTTGTGTGTGCACAGCCAGTGCGAGTGGAACCCGGACCCGGGTGGGGACGGCGGTGTGTTCACAGCCCACGGGGTGCGATGCCAGGGTAGGGGAGAGACTCCTTTTCCAGGTGTGTTCTAATCGCTGCTTGACTCTCTCCTGCTTCTGGAACGCCTCAGTGGAGACAAAGTACCCCCACGAAGCAGCCTACGACGCCTTCCTCTGCGGATCAGGTGAGTCACTGTTCCTTTAAAAGGAGACTCATGTTTGCCCTGTGCAGTTTTGCTCAGTGGTTAGACCATCGGCCCTCAGACTGAAGGGTCTCTGGTTGGATTCCGGCACATACCTCGGTTGCAGGTTCGATCCCCAGCCCTGGTTGGGAGGCAGCCATTTGATGTGTCTCTCTCCGATGCTTCTCTCTCTCCTCCCCCCTCCTCCGTCTCTTCCACTCTCTCTCAAAGTCAATGGACAAAATATCCTCTGGTCAGGATTAAAAAAAAAAATTAAAAGGAGATTCATGTTTAATTTGTGATAGTGCATGCCGTCCCACGCACTCCCGGGTGGGTTGCACATGATGGAAGTAACGTGCGTTTGCACGTTTTGATACAGTGATGATCAGGTTGAGCTACATTTCTGGCTTTTCCCCCCAGTTCTTTTGAAAGTGGCTCACTTGCTCCTGTGGAGAGTGCACGGGTGAGTGTCCCTTCTTTCCTCCTGCGATTCGCCCCCCTCCCCACTGACCTCCGGGCTCCCTTGGCTCTCCCAAAGAACGGAGGGCGCAGAAAGTCACTACGTAAATGCAGTCCCTGGCCAGCGGCAAGGCAGCTAACAGCAGCAGAGGCCCTCAGTGCCATGGCCCCTGGGCCTACGGCCTTTATTCCTTTCAACCCTCAAGACCTAAAACCCTCCCAGGTTTAGAGAAGCTCTGGAGTGGCCCAGGCCCGCCCACCTCCAAAGCCTGAGCCTCCTTACAGCCTGTGCTCGGGTGTGGTCTCTCTGGATGGAGGCAGGGCTGGTAGCAGGACAAGGGGGTGGGACAAGGGACTGAGGGTTGGCCATGTGGAGTCGAGGGATGATCACTGGACCACCTTCTGAACAGTGGCCTCTCGCTAATTCTCTGAGCTCTGTTGCTAATGTTTATCAGTGGAGGGATTGCCACCAAACTGTCACCAACAGATGGTGACCACCGGAAGCTCCGCTTCGGTGTGGGCCATGGAGGGACCTTTATGAGGTTGGTCAGTGGGGGAAGCACACCGACCTGAGCCTCAGGAATTGTGAGGGAGAAAACGAGAGTCGTCCGAGGCAGCCCTTCCCCTGATCTGCCCGGGGATCTTAGCCCCGGCCCAGGGTGGGTGCGTGCCTGCCTGAGTGCTTCGGGTTCTCTTTGTCCGTGTAGAGCTGGCTCCATACCTGAGCCTTCCTTCCCCCTGTACCTTGACGTGCTGGCCCCCTACGTGAACCAGGTGAATCTGATCCGAGCTGGGGTCCCTAAGATCGTGAGTAGCCTTCGCTTAGCTCCTTCTCCTGTTCAGAGGCTGTGCTGAGAGGCAGCCTGGTCCTCTGGAATATCTCGGGGGTTCTGATAACTACCAAACTCAGAGTTGAAGGGGGTGCTCATGCTCCACCAAACTGGTTATTTTTTCTTGTCTTTCTGCCAAAACCAACATGGACCCTCTCTTTCCTTCCGTCTCCCCTCCCTCCAACCCCAGATGGAGCCCTTCCTAGCTTCTCTCTCAGGATTTTCAGACTGGGGGGTCATCAGTAGGAATGGTGGAAACTTTCTTCGGCTCTTCTTCCTGTCTTCCAGAACTTTTCTGGTCCAGATTACCCCAGTATCCGACCCCCCATCCTCCTGCTCAGCGTCAGGAGGTGGCCTGGGGTCAGCGAGCAGCAGGTCTACCGCGAGTTCCACAGTCTCTGCAAATTCGATGTCCGGCGACTCACGCGCAACCAGTTCCTGCTCTTGACCAATAAGTTCAAGGAGTAGGTGCCCTGGTTCTCAGCTGTCCCGTCCCGTGTCCTCCCGGCCACCCTATCTCTTTGCCCACAGCCACTTGGCTGCCGCTCACGTGCCTGACCTGAGCACCCTTCCTTTGGCAGCGCTCGGAGCATCCTGAAGGAGTACAGGGGCCACCCCACCCTGCAGGTCTCCCTCTATCGGTACTGGAGGCACTCCCCGGACATCAACTGCTTGTTGCAGTAAGTGACTAGGACTGAGGCTGCTTGCCACACTGTCCTGTGGTCCCCATTTGGTCTGCGTGGAGCGCAGTTCGGTAGCTGGTGTGTGCTGTAAAGGAGTCGTCGACTAGGGTAGTGAACTGAACGTGATTCAGTAACGTTTGACATGTCGGCTCCTGTTCTCAGGGAGCTTGCACTGTAGCGGGAAGTATCTATAAGTAATCGAGTGAACTGCATCATCTATTAGGTGACAGGTGCTTATTAACAAGAAGAGCAATTCAGGAGGTGGGAGTGGAGGGGCGGGGGTGGGGATGAAGGAGAAGATGGGAGGCCCAGTGTCCAGGCAGAGGGGCCACAAGGCAGAGGCCCTCGGGTGGGAGGTGCCTGGGCAGCCAGAAGGCCACAGTGCCAGGAGTGAACAAGTAAGGAGATGAGACTAGAGTCATAAGTGGGTCCCAACCGCATGGAGGGCCATGGGTAAGAACTGGGGGAGAAACTGCAGACCGTGGGGGGTTTGAGCAGAGCCGTGCTGCGTGGCTCTGTTGAGACAGGAGACAGACGGGGCGGGGGTGGCGGATGCAGGGCGGGAGCAAGTTTGGAAGCTGGATTACCCGGTCACAGTTTGCTCATGGCTTGGACTGCTTGGGGGCACAGTGGGGGCAGTGGAGGTGCTGTCACTGACCGACTGGAGCAAAGTCAAGTTTGAGTCCAGAGCTTTTAGCCAGAGCATCTGGAAAGACCCGGGGCAATCCTTTTCCCTGTGTCAGCCTCTGATGGAACTCGCTAGGAAGAGTGACTGCTCTGTGTCCCAGAGCCATTCTCACCTGGAGAGGCAGCAGCTCGCTGGGACAGGCAGGAGGAGAAGGAACATTTGCTGAGCAAAGTCAGGAAGCCAGAGGGGCGAGCCTGTGGGGCGCACGGCCCACCTGAGCCCCCTGGCCACCGACCCACGTCTTGCCTTGCAGAGTCTGCGGCGTAGTTACGGCCTGGGCGCTTGCCGCGCTCCTCCTGGGCCGGCCTAGCCCCTGAAGCCCTAGCCGCCTGCGGTTCGCCCTCTCCGCCCTTTCCAGGAGGCCGGCCTGCTTTTGTTCCTGTGACTTGCATTCTACTTGCAGGCGGATCTGTCTGGTCATTGTGAGGAATTTTGTTATATTTTGAACGAAAAATCCTGTAAATATTATCAATGATAAAGAAACCTTTGGGTGGCTCTCCCAGGAGCATGCCCTTCCCTTTCCCCTTCCCCTCTTCCTCCCCCAGGCTGTTACTTTACCCCTCTCTCTGTCCCCCTAAGCTCCAAGGGCCCTCTTGCCTCTGTAACTTGTTTCCTGAGCCCATTTCTTCTATAGCTTACTTCTACCTCTGTGACTTTCTAAATAAACTCATAAAAAAAATTAAAAAAAAAGAGCCCTGGCCGGTGTGGCTCAGTTGGTTGGGTGTGTCCAGTGCACCAAAACATTGCTGGTTGATTCCCGGTCAGGGCACATGCCCGACTGTGAGCTCGATCCCCGGTAGAGGGCGTGCAGGAGGCAGCCGATTGATGTTTCACTCTGGCACTGATGTTTCCATCTCTCCCTTTCCCTCTCTCTAAAAATCAATAAAAATATTTTTTTAAAATACTGAGCTATCTTGATATAGTACCGCATTTAAGAATCCTGATCAGATAAATGCATTCATTTACTCGTTTCATCATCAGTGTAGCTTATAAAGAAAGAAAGAAAGAGAAAGAGAAGGGAAGGAGGGAAGGAGGGAAGGAGGGAAGGAAGGAAGGAAGGAAGGAAGGAAGGAAGGAAGGAAGGAAGGAAGGAAGGAAGGAAGGAGTTAAGGTCTAATCAAATATTAGTTTGCCATATATAAGGTCTTAATTTCATCTACGTCGTTTATTATGAACATTTAAGTCATCTCAAATGTTTAGTGTAACTAAGGGTAAAAGCAAAGTGGTTAATATTTATGGTGGTCAGTTCTCTCCCAGCTTTGCCGGCTGCCGCCCTCCTATTCCTGTAGCGACGGAGCCACCGTGGGAACAGGCCTGAGTTCCCACTCGTCTGGGCGGAAAGGAGGCCCCGTGGTAGGTGGGGAGGCAGGGTGGGGACGGCCGGGACTTCTGAGGGAAGAGCAGTGGCCGGTCCACCTTTGTCCACCCTGGTGAGGTGGGCAGCGCCCAGTACCCGCTTGGACCTTGGGGACAATTCAAGGAGAGGGAGAGGGAGGGCGGTGGAAGCGGTGTGGGTGGGGTCCGAGCACTCCTGTTATCTGGAGACAAGGGATTTCCTCAAAACCCCTGTGAGCGCTGCCTCAGACTCGAGTTTCTCACTCAGTGACTTTGTAAAACAGCTGTTTAACTAACTTGGGGTCTGCCCGGGTAAAGGAAGCTTCCCTGTTTTGGGGGTGGGGAACTCCCCTAAAATAACAATTCAAGAGAGAAAAACACAACTTCCTACAGAAGCTGGGAAACAGAATAATCATTAGAATGATTTTTTAAAATTTATTGTCAAAAGTATTACAGATGTCCCCTCCCCCCCATTG